GGGTTTCTTGCTTCAGGTTGTGGATGGTGGATCAGATAGGCAGAGGAGCCCAAATGATCCTAAGTCCAATGGGTTGCCCTGAAGCATACATATTGGCAGCTGTCACACCTGTGGAGAAGCTTGTTTTGCTTGAGCTGAGTCTTTGCCACATGGCTAGATGAAGACTACATCGGACGTGCTACTTGTCTCCAATAGTGCATGGTCTTCAATTGGCAAATGATGATTGCTATAGTCACACCTCTTGTGGCTGAAGGTTTCTAGAATGTCTCGCCGCTGCCACAGCTGGACAATTTGTGTGGGTACGTTACGCAGAGCACTTATGCATTACAAACGCAAGTGGCGAGAAGAAGGTTGGTTGAATGAAGGCGGGTTCTTTGATGGCCCATGATGTTCATATGAAATAATGTGGGGTGTGTGTGGACAAATCTAGTACATCTTTCATCAGCAAGTCCGCATGACAGGCAGATCTTGGAAACAAAGACGGCTGTGACATCTACTGTCGGGAAGGCTGCCACAGTGTGCAATGGTTATTTGCCAATAAACATATAACGCATGCATTGTTCAATTGAAGTGTTCCTTGACAAAGGTTGTGCATAAAACATTCCTACAACTGGAGGTCCCAAAGACTGTTTCTCAATGAAGTGTTTTTGAAAACAAGGTTTCCAAAGCCACCCACTGAAATGTTCCAATAGACAGTGAAACACAGGGTTGTAACAACAAAGGTGAACAAGGGATTCTCACAACAAGGTCCACCCTACAAGAACGAATGTGCACAGCAAAAGGTTGCAGCTGCAAGAAAAACACGCAACAAAACATGTTTCAATGAACTTCGGGCATACCATGTACTGGTCCAATCTGTTGCAATGAATCACATGCACTGTTCATTGTGATTCCTTTTGTTTGCCTGCAGGCATGGATTTGTGCATATGAGATGCTGCTGCTGCGCATGGAAAAAAAGTTTCTGCATGGGTTTCCGATCAAGTCCCACCACAATGTTAGGCACACTGATGATATGTCTTATGACCCACCCCCTATGTGGTACACATTCTTTTTTGAGCTACCTAAACGTACACATTTTTGTATAACGAGCAGATTTCTTGTGGTACACATTTTTGTGTATCAAAGGGTTGTTCAGGTACTAGAAACGATGTTCGCGACGTTCGGCTGCTCGATGCGTCCAAGGAACGCTGCGGCACCTGCACGGCGCGGTCCATCCAGCAGGGTTGCCCCTCCAACACGCTCGCAGCAAAGCGTTCGGCCTCGTGCGAACTCGCAGGCGTGGCGAACTCGGGATGCCATGCTACGCCTGAGGTGCTGAACATGGTGTAGTACAGTGACCCTCCTGCAGTGGTTTTGAGAGTTCTCTTCAGAATAACAGTCTTGTGGGTCCAAGTGGGGAGAGAACAAAGGCATTGAGAAGCCTGTAAGGTCAACCAACAGAAATGCGTGTGAGTTACCATGCTGGATCAAAATTCTATTGGTGCACCACTGTTTTGATATGTTTAGCAGCGCCTCTCTGTGTCCAGCTTGCACATTCTGTGACTTTTTGTTAGAGGTTCCATTTCATTGTTGTCCTGCTGGACTTGAAGATTGTACCTTCATCCACGTCCCATAATTGTAGAAGCCAATCAGAAGTGATGAAGAAGTTGCATCTCCCTTTTCCGCCAACCCCAGATGTTCCGCCTCCTGCCACGGCAAGAAGAGATTCGCCTTGGGCATATCTCGCATGATAGAGACCACCTGACCGGGGCAGGTTGACCTGCCTCCTGCGTGTCAAAAACTTCACCACTGAGCAATTCTGTGAGAATTTGGACCAACAGGCACCATCAGACCTTGGCAGCAGTCACTCCAGCAGTCATCAAGATGAAGAGTAGAAAGCCTCAGCGGGTAGGTCGTTGACTCATTGAGCGAGAAACCTGCTGCTTTTCTTGGATCAACTGGGCCTCTTCGCCTTGCGAAGTTCCTTGCAACCTGTCTTCCCGTCTCAAAATCACACCGAGCAGCTTAAGAGTAATCGGGTGCCCAGATGGGTAAGGACGAACCTTGGCACTCGACTCGGATGATTTCCTCCTCGTTGGAGCCCCTGAAACCATCGCCAAAGGTCTTCAAGCAGGGTCACTAGGATCCCTTGCTGCTACTAGCAATGGCCTCCACCCTAGTAGCGATGGCCTCCACCCTAGTAGCGATGGCGTCCAGGCCTCCAACCTACTAGCGATTCCTTGTTGAGCTCCGCATGTCCGACAAGTCCCCTTTCTTCTCGGACATGTCTTCCAGCCCAGGCACCAAGTGATATCAAAGTCACACGTCTTTTGAGCGGGCGTTGGAATTGAAATGGACATCATCGAAACAAGGAGGAACCTCAGCGCCACGCTTCGGACGGTCGCATTCCAGATGACGGCCAAGAGAAAATGACTCAAATGACTCTCTGGACTCTCTACGCGATGCGAGAGCAAACGCGATGACTCAGTGTCCTTGTTCTCTTGTTCACCCAAGGTGCAGGAAGCAAAGGTTGAGGCCCAGCATTTGCCGTGAGAAACCATGCAGACTAAAGACCTGCGCATCGTGGCGGATGCATCTCATAGCCGGACTCAGCCAACCAGGCCAATCTCATTTGAGCAACACTGAAAGCCGGCGATGATTACAATGAGTATGTGCAAGATACATGTTCACTGTTCATGCAAGCAATGCTGTTGCTTGAACCTGCACCAGCTACATCCCCATTTATATATCTAGAACAGAAGCTTTCCGGTTTCCTCCAAACCACCAAGGACTAAGGAAGAACAGCAATTGGCGACTGTCTTTGCTTCACATCGACCCCAGCCGACCACGCACGACAAAGCCTTGGCCGTCTGCGGATTGGGCTCCGAGAGGGATCCAGGGACCCTCCACCTCGGTTCTCTGAGGCGGAGACCGGACCCAGAGGTGAGAACGACTGAGGCTGCGAACGCACCCGCCAAGGACGCACACGCCCAGAAGCTGAAAATCAAGCCACCTCACAGCGGTCAGATGGCTTTGTTGTGTGAAGCTGCTTGAATCTCATGCCATGGTTGTGTGCATGCACGCAATCTAACACAGAAACCAGAGCTGAAAAAGTACGTGACACGTTTCAGCATCCTTCTGACTCTTCCGTCAGCCTCCACCATATGTAAAGATGCGTTGGGCCAAAAGCAAGGACTCGCTGTGATCCTCGCTGCCTCGGGGCCATGAGATCGCGAAACAAAGCTGCTTTTTTCGCGGGTCAACACCGAGGAGTGCGCGTAACGAGCGTGGCGAGCGTAGCGAGCGTAGCTGTGGCTATGCCACGTTCACTCAGAGTTTCGTGCTGGGCCGCCACACAACCAGGATCTCCAAAGCACTCCGCTGTACCAGTGATGACAGCTTTTGACCTTGGATCGACTGATGGCCATTCTCACCGACGAGTCTTTCTCTCCTGCTGCACAACACTGGACAACCTCATCGAGCTGATCGACCAGGAGACCGCGCCCATTTTGCACCCTCAAAGTGCGATTTAAACAGGTCACGGTGTCCTGGCTGAAAGAGGAGACGTTGAAAAGGAGGCCTTGAAAGGGGGTCGTTCTTTGTGAAATTGAGTATCATGTTGAAAAATTGAGTATCATATTGATTCAATGAACTCAAACATGTGATCAATTCTAGTCACTCTAATGTCTGAATGGAAGCGTGATCGAGCCCGGTGCTTCGCAGCCCACTCCTCCACCAACTCCAAAGGAGCGGACAAATAGCATTCAACGGCATAGGTCTCAGTGCTCTGGTTTTCCTCCCAAGACAAGACAAGGAGAGAACGAACCTACTAGCGATGGCCTCCAACCTAAAAGAGAGAGAGAGAGAGAGAAAAATAAAGAACGAGCCTGTCGAAGAGTTAAAAATAGAAGTGGGGCATCGCAGCAGTTATATATTAGTCATTATCAGAGGGACATAGAGGGACTGTTCATTGGCAAAGTTATAAGCCGTCCAAGCTGGCGCAGACCAGTGTTGAATCCATGGGTGGTCCTTCCTACTAAACAACGAGTGTCCATGTTCAACCAACCCTAGCAATCAAGGTTGATAGCTGTGGCCTGTGTTGATCTTCAAGGTACAACACTTTAAAAGAAGCGACATCAGGGAACGAAGGGCTTTGATGTCATGAACATGTCTTCTTTCCTGTTGTGCAGTCCTCCTGCGCGGCTCCAACGAGAAGCGCCCAAGCCACCACCAGGATTTGCATCAGCCAGCTTGGAGAAACCAAACGCGCAAGAGTTTGGATTAAAGATTTGAGATGCTTGATGACATTGGAACCGTAGGACTTGTGTCCAACTTTGTCTACGTTGCGGATTCCCGATTTGGAGTCATGTTCAACTAAGCCTTTGGCTAGGTAGTTGGCTTCAAGGCGAGTCTTCCAAAAGTAAGGTCCATGTTGAATTGGCTCGGCCTGTGCTCTTAATCTTGCAAGTTATGACTGCTTTGGCATATGTTGGCATTGCCTTCCCCAGCAAAGAATCTTCCAAACATTCTCGAAACTCATATCTGTTCTGGTCAGCTCAGCCCCACTTTTGAGATGAAATGGCCCATCACGTGTCACAGTGCTGGGCTGACGACGTCCGAGGCTTATCAGAACGCTCTACATATAGTTCACAAATATATACTTTGTAATTGCGTGTGTATGTAATTAGCTTTTAGGATGGAGGCCATCACTAGTAGGTTGGAGGCCGTCGCTATAAGAAGCAACGAAGAAAGAAAAGGAAGAATGGTGTAATGACTTTAGTTCATATATGTTCCAGAACAAAAATCCCAAAACATTCATCAAAAACCTTGTTCACCAAATTAAATACAGCAGCCTCCTTGCCCCTACTTCGGAAAGAGAAACGTCCATGTCTCACAGATTGAATGCCGGCATCAAGCAGGTTTGACAAGCGAAGATCAACTACACCCCGGATGCCATGTGGCTTCTACAAAAGCTCCTCGCAGTCTTCCAACAAATCACCCATCTCCTAGGACATCCGAACTTTCTTGCTGCATCTCGCCTGGAGAATGTGACGTTCTCCAGTGATTATCAAGGAAGGCGTTGGCTTCAGCCGTGAGTTTTGTGCCACTCTCTCAATACTTAGTCTACCCAAAAGACATCCCATACATTGATTTAAATGAAAAAAACATGCACTTGCACTTGCCTAGGTTATTGAACACGCGATGCCTAGGCATGTGATTGAACACCGCAGCATTTCCTGCCTAAGAGCAACTCCGCCTCCGTCACCTTGGCTTGCCTGCCAGGCGGTGTTCTGGCTTTTTTTCTGGCGCTGTGTCAGTCAGCATCACTCCACTCTCCACTGAGAAAACTCCCAAATCTGTCTGCGCCTTGCATATCCTGCTATCACGGCCTCAGTCTCCAAGACACCAGTACGTCACAAGCTTGCCTTTCTTGCCTGTCGAGTGAAACCCATCCGCAGTTCGATTCCTGGGTTTCCCCAGCGGTGTAGGCGACCGCATTCGGAACGAGCTGCTCTGAACGCATGGAGTGCAACATCTTCAGTGCCTCGAGGCACATCGCAGGGTGCCCAGCGAAGATGCGGAGCGGAGCTGGCACCGGTCAACTCGCAGCATGGTATGTGCACTCAATGCTTGCTCTGTCAATGCAAATCGTTGTTGTTGAAAAGAAAGGAAGTCACCAATTGCTCTCCATCCCCTGGGGAATCTGTTCTTGGCTGGTGGCTTCGCCAAAATACAGTAGAAACTTCAGAATCGACACAGAAGGTGACGCTTCTCTTCCACCTTGGGGAGGCGACAGTGGAGGCGACACATCGCCTTGGCGTCTCGTCCGCGCCTCGTCGGCCTCCTTGGTGCGGGCGACGGCCGCGATGGCTGCGCCATAGATCACCTGGCGACCGATGACCGCGTCGGATCGACGTCGGACCTGGCGACGGAGAGACGGAGAGAGACAAAAGGATTTGAGTATGACTACAAACATGGTATGACTCCATGTTATGCGGATGACATCATGGTAGATCGACTTTTGGATGACAAAGATGGTATGGCCAAAGACCAAAGATTCGGATTTGCCGTCTGCATGACCAGTGTCCCACTGCCAGCTGGCTCGGAAGCCGAATGGCCTCGTCCGGCTGCAATTGGTAGTGCCGCATGTCCTGTCGGGGCCGATCCTCGCCATGCTCATCGCCATCCACGTTGGAACTCTCGGCCCTTTGGCTTGAAAGCAATGAGGGTTCAAGTAGCTTCTTGTTACTACTAGTAAGGCACTTGTTACTAGAAGCGATGCACTTGTTCCTAGTAGCTTCTTGTTCCTACTAGTAAGAATGCTCCGTTCGTAGCGATGCCATCTTTCCTTGGCTTCCAACTTGCCGAGCTGCCGGGCCGCCCGACGAAACGACCCGTTCGCTCCCAGCAAAGCAGCATCGACTCTCCCCCGCGTCGCCCGTCGCGGCCAGTGTGCTTTTCCCGTCCTCGACCCAACGCACTGCTAAGGGCGTCTGGGACAAGAGAGCTGCCCAGGTGCACAGCTCCATCTCCAAACCTGGCAGCACGGAAGAAGCGAATCCCGGAAGAACCTTGTCTGTTTTTCTCTTTTCTTGATAATTAAACTAATAGCTTCTTGTTACTACTAGTAAGGCACTTGTTACTACTAGGGATGAGTCGAGGAATCGAATCCTTCTACCCCTTCGAACGCCGAATTCACCGTGTTGAACATTCTGGAACCACTGCGAACCGAACGGCGGTCTGTACAAACTATCCAACCATCCAAAACCGTGAAAAGCAGAAAGCCAAAAGAGGAAAAGCTTCGCGACGTCTATCGGGGAGTCTTGTTTGTTGTTCATCAGCTTTCTGAAAGTGCAAAGCAGCAGTAGGTTGCCTGCTTCCAGCATCTCTGCCTTGTCAGCAACAGAAGAACTCACTTGCAGCCAACCTCTGCCTTTGATCCTTCAAAACCCTCCTACACAGGTGTATCATGCAGTTCAGACATCCAACTTCTGCGTGTCTGAAGAAGAAAGCTCCAGCTACGGTCAAACCATTCAAACCCTGGTGAGCCTTACTTCACACCCCCGACTGCCCAGGCGAACCAGCAGCAGAATCGCAACTCTGAACTCTTTACCTTAGACATGCAGCCCATGGAGCATAGGAGACGTCAAATGTTCAAGCTTTGTCTTGAAATCTCTGATGTCTAAAGATGTGCAAAGTCCTATCAAAGTTACAGATTCTGAATTGTTCCGTCAGATTGGTGGAACCAAAAAGTTTGTGGAACAAGAAAGAAGCAAGAGCAGCAAGAGCAGTGCTTCAGGCATTTCTCAAGAAGACTCCACCACTTTGGAGACTGTTTGGTTGCCGGTGTGTGTGCTGACTCTGAATGAAACCAAAGAACGCTTCGCGCACGCCCCGATCACCGTGGTGAAGTTGTGAGGAGTCGGCTTCTGCCGTAGAAGCTGCCTCCAGAGCGCAACGCTGGACCAATCGACGTGTTGCTTCGATTAAGCTCGGTGGCTTTTCCTATGGCATCGGTTCATCCGAGAGTAGGTGGAAACATGATTGGAAATGATTGGAAATGGATCATGTCTTCTTCCATGCAACAAACAATGCCTTCTTCCGATGTTCTTTTCCTTCCCTTCCTTCCCTGGCCTGGCACCTTGGGTGTCACTTTGCTGCGCCAAAGCTCTGATCGCGGCGCCGTAGCTGTGTTCGTGGATGTTGCGGCCGGTCTGGCATCAAAGCGACTACGAAACTCGGGGAACGCAGCGAGTTTCAAACACTTGAGAGAGGAGGGGGTGAACGAAAGGTAGCAGGCAATCACAAGCAACCTTGTGATGAAAAGCGGTGTGCATGAAACACAAACAGCAGACACACGCTTTCCCAATGGGTGCCCCAACGGCAGACGTCTCCGGAGCCTGTTGCATCTTCTGCAGTTCCTGGACCGCCTCGTCGGGCGCGACGATGGCGGTGGCCTGGCATGGACTCCAGTAGCGATGGCCTCCAACCTAATGGCAGTGGCCTCCAAGGTAACAGGAATGGCCTCCAACCTAATAGCGATGGCCTCCGACCTAGTAGCAGTGGCCTGGAGCCGAAGCATGGACTTGTCCTCTTCTTCGGTGCCTCGACGGGATCTGGTGCACAAGAAGCGAAGAAGCTACTCGGGTGGCATCCGTCTTTACAAAACGACAGTGTCGGCGCGTCGAATCCTACACATTCCAAACGTTCTTCTTCGTTCGAGGGTCTATTCTCAAAGGCTGTATGCAATTGTACACCCAGACTCCCAGGTTCGTTTCTGAAAGGATGTCCACTGGCACCCCTGCACAAGGGACAATAGACCATCGAACACAGGGAACTCCGAAAAACCATGGGAATTGGAATGGAAGTGCTTTGATCAACATCAAAACGAGAATGGAAAAACATCAAAAAGCCTGCCCATGCCAGGTTTCTCAAGCGGCTTCTCAAGATTCACGCGCCTTCCATCCATGCTGTGGCCTCTTCTGCTTCACCCTGGGCGGCACAGCTGCGGGCCACCGCGGTCAAGGCACCTCAGATGCAGGTAACTGGTCTTGCGGCGGACTGTAAGACACATCGGAAGATGCATCTGGCGGAAAGAAAATCGGCGAGTGTGAAACATCACCAACGGAAGAAGATCGCGGCCCAGCACAACGAAATGAGAATTGCCTTGGAAGGCCTGAGAGTAACACGGACGCTGGAATACAGTTGATGTGCCTGGAGGCGCTGCATCCATGCAGTTGCGCGGCCTAATAGCAAGAGCGGATTGCGCGACATGGTCTCAATCAAGTTCAGGGTACAAACAGTCACCCAAAGATCACTTTAAATTGGTACGTACAGAGGAGCAAGGACGCTACTAGGAGCAAAGGGCATCGCTACTAGGAGCGATCGGACGCTACCAGGGGCTCCTGGCCTTACTACTCGGAGGGATCGGACGCTACTAGGGGCTTACAGAGGCACTTCTTCAACTAGACGGTCCACATGCCCAAAACGCGAACCTAGGGCATGAATATCAATCCAATCAAGTTTCAGATCCTACCACACCCCATTGCACGATTGTACCTCTTCGATGTATGGCTTATCAAGCTGCTACAGCTTCAAGTTTGATCTCCATGACTAGTTTCGACCCCAAATGAGTCTCATTGAAGCTCTTGCCCATATCTCCGCAGACAAAAAGAACCGTATACAGTATAGTAAGTTCCGAAAGAAAGATACCTTGCATCGTGCACGTCGAACGCCGCGCCGGAGATCTCTTTTTCCCCGTTTCTTCGGCCACGTCCGCAGTTTCCGCGCGATCAACGCCGGATGTGCTGCGCGTGGCCTGGTTCCCCTGCTGCAGCACATCCGTCGAGCAAGGCGCCGTAGAAAAAGGCGTCCAGGGTCACACAGGCCCGCTCCGCTTGGCGCAAGACCGCCCTCGGTGAATCAGAAACGACCGCTGTGTGAGTGACCATCTGATATTGTGAATGTTCATGAATGTTCCATGTCCCTTGCGGGGCAGAAACCCGGCAAAAGAAGTTGGTTCAAACAGAACCATGAAGGTGGCTGTATCCAAAAATGGAGTTCATTGACTCTATGTTGGGGATACCAACTTCGACCACTCTAGAGAAACTTGGAGTTGTCAAGTCTCAATCAATCAGCAAAACACTCCTCCACTGCTCAGTCAATGCTCCACTCCACTAGGACATCCTCAAGTGGTCGCCCGCGTTCGGCCCGGATCCGAAACACCGGTCCCGATGGTTCCTTCAGCGAATGATACTCGGAACAAGTTCAGAAAGGCAAACAAGAAGAAGAACGGAAAGGTCTCAAAGTCTGAATAAGAAACGGGATTCGGCTTTCTCGTGATCCTGTTTTTTTATTTCGTTGAATCTGTCTCAAGGTCGTTTCGTTGAAATCGGGATTCTGCTTCGCTCAAGTCCAAGCGGCTCGGCCTGCTTTGGGCCACCCGCGCGGAGATCCTGTGCTGCACAATTGATGAGCTTCCCGTAACTCCGGGGGCTGCGGCTGCGCGCTGGGATCTGGCGGAACCAGGCCTCACGTGAGCCATGGCGGCAGTGTTTGGTCGGTTCACGCAGCACCACAGGTGCCCAAGAAGAAGACTTGTGCAAATTGATGTTCGACAGATTTGTGTTCACCTGCCTGTAATCCACTTTCGGTTCAGTTGAGAAGTCCCTTTTTGTTTCGTGCTGGAAGCATCTCGGATCCAAACAAACCATGTCACCAGTGCAAACATGTGCAAACGATGCAGGTCCCAACCCAGATCGCCTCTGCACTTGGCCAGTCTTTTGCTTTGACCTGGATCATGGGTGAAGAATCGAAAAAGCGAAGATAAGTCAATTGGAATCCCTCCGCTTAGAGTCGCAACCTCGAGATTCATGCCCTGTAGATCCATGCTACTATAGCGTCAAACGCTTCCTTAGCGGTTCAACGCGTGGTCTTCTTATGTTCTTTGAACATCTGAAACCGCCAAAAGGCACTAGCCAAACCTGGCCATCTCAGAGTTTCGTCTTGGACTCACCAACGACCGGACCTCCTTGGTCCTTGGTCAGGCATTTCGACCCAAACGGCCGGTCGTCTCGTCGTTCCGCACCGAGGCTTTCAGCACCACGTTCCACAGGAAGGGCTGCACGAAGCGCTTGCCGGGCAGGTGTCCTTGACACGGTTTTGGCCGCGGGGACCGAAGGGTCTTCGGCGATTGGGCGATCCGGAGACCGTCGAGCTCTCCGGTGGGTTTGGGCTTCCTTTTTTTCTTCGGTCTTTCTTCTGCTCTGCTCTGGAGCTCAGAGCGTTCGACAGACGTCACTTCTTGAAGAACAGCCACACTTCTGAAGTCGGTCCTTGCAACTCGTGGAAAATCTGCTGCGCCTACAGGTCTTCCGGTCTTGTCTTCACAGGTGAGGATCTTGACTCGGCTTTTTACGGATGCGGTAGAGATTCCGGCATGATGGACGTGACTCAAAACCCTGTGCCACAAATGAAATACATAAAACATCTTTAAAAAAACAAAAAAGTAATTATACAAGCATAGACCCCAAACAGTTCAGCCACAGAGCCCAGCCACAGAGCCCAGCCACAGAGTTGAGCTCTGTCAGGGGCGCTGCCAAGAGGAGGACAAGAGGAGGACAAGGCCCAGCCACAGAGCCCAGCCACAGAGCCCAGCCACGAAGCCCAGCCACAGAGTTCAGGGGCGCGGCCAGTGACTGTGGCCAGCTCTTTTCTTTCTAAGATAGAACCCCAACAGTAAACTGTTTGGGGAAAAAACACACACAAAAAAAGAAAAGGGGGATCAAAAGGATCACCTTGAGGACATTCACCCACGGTTTCGGGGTTCGCTGCTCCCACGCTGTCCGGCACGGCGTCTCGTCCCCGCCTCAAGGACACGACCAGCCTCTGATGCCGCCAACAGACGCTGAAGCCCCTGACCGTCACACGTCATGTGAAAAAAAGCTTTAAAAAAAAAGGCTAGGGAAAAGAAACCAAGCACCGAATTTTCCGAATCTGGAGATTCTGAGATCTGAGATGCTCTGTCCCACGTTGCCTCCTTGGCCGCCATGGTCGGCCGCCATGGTACCGGTCCGTCCCCAAACGGGGGGGACGTCACCGGGTGCGTCGCGTCGCGGGAGTCGACTCCAAGGGAGGTAGATGATGCAAAGCATCAGCAAGATCGAAATCACAGTGGTAAAGGTGGTCACTCATGTTTTTATACAATCCAGGGGTCACTCACTGCCCCCCCACCTTTGAGTTCGACACCCCGATGGTGAAACCTGTCAGCTATCCAAACCTGTCAGCTGGTAGAACCACATGGTGACCTCTGGCACGATCGCTTGAGCAGCGTTGCACATGTAGCCAAGCTGATCTGCGAGACAAAACAGAAAATTATGCAAGCCTGCATCGAAAATGTCCACGCATCTCAGACACATGACAGTCATCAGGGACCTTTTTAAGCCTGATCACGCCTTTCAGAGCACTCAAGACAGGCCGAGCTGACATGGCAATCACCATTCTTATTGGCATCGAAACTCCCGTCTGCACGGGATCTGCACTCAACGAGCCCGCAATGAGTCCAATTTTTGGTCGAATTTTGCTAGGTAGCAGCTTGGACCATATCTGTCTCTTCCGGTGTCTTTTGAGCTTCCAGTTTCTCTTTCCAACATGTATGATTCCGATGTCCGATGTTGTCTTGCTTTTTGGGACTCGTCTATTCGAGTGGCTCCCGCCCCACGATGAGTTCATGCGGTCTTAGGCCGCAACTAGCCTTTGTGCAAACTTGTGCCCAGGTCAGGATCAAATGCTTTGGGACTAAGAAAATCTAAAAATTAGGGACACAATAATGCGCAAGGGGCACTGGAGTGGGGTGTTCCTGCTTAAAAAGACTGGCAAGGAGAGCGGTAGTCTTTAAGCTGCCTTCTTCGACTGTTGGAAGCACAACAGCCCAGCGCAGTGTGAAAGGTAAGCCGTTTTGCCAACAACAATATCCCAATACGAAGGACATACGAAGGACAGCCCATTTCCCGCATTCCTTCTTTGCTCCAGGCACGGAAACCCAGGACAATGCACGAGTCTGGCCGGAGAGATAAGCGGGTTTGTGCTTTCTCATCCGCCAGGTCTGGCGAAACTCAGCGAGCTTTTTGCCTTCCTCGAAACGCATGTTGAAGCGATGGGTGTGAAGTGGTTGGTGTGAAGTTGGTGGATATAACCCATCCTCCCCAACATCTAGATCAGCTGTCGGTTGATATTGAACACAAGTGCGTGGCTCTCAAAAGCCTTTCGTCGCTGAATTCACCATGGAAAGAAGTTGCGTCAATCACACAATGTGAGACATGGTCTGAGACATGCTGGCAGGAGGTGATTTGACTCAGTTCCATCGCAGAACTTGGGCTGCTCTCAGCCTTGACGCTACCCTGGGCCTTCAGCCTAGGACTGCACGGCCCGATGACTTCAGAGAACCACTGCAGAAGCAGATTCCGAGGGACCAACAAGGATGTAAAAAATCAAACACTCACTGTCTGCAGCACTGACCGATCAAATACTAGTTACTAGTAGTCTGTCGAACAGATTCACTATCCTGCCGTGAGGCCCTGCCTTCAGGCCGTACCCAATGGGGTGCGGGGACTGCGAAGGGTTCTGTTCGGTCGGAGTTCATCTCACAAGGAGAAACACCGTCGAAGCACATCCCGAAACATGTTTTTGCCACCTTCCGCCACTGAAGGAGAAGAGGTGGGAGCGGACGGTCCTCGCTTTCCGCACAGCGTCCGACTCTGTTTCTATCTGTTGAGGACCCTCCGACCCGACGATCAGCGTCCGCAGGGACCTTGCACTGCGCTACAACGCCTCGGAGGGAAACAGAGGGGTCTTGAACCTGTATGCAAACCGCTGCCAACCGCATCGGGCGAGATGGGTCATGGAACACTTCCTGGCATGTCTTGGGAGTTGGAAGCTCGGCACCAAGACACCTAAGAAGCAGGTGTGTCATTGGAGGAGAGGCAGACTAGACCCACAAAAAAGGAGCAAAACGGAGCCAAAGCCGCAAACTGGTGGTCAAAAACGGCATCCACGCCATGTGGGCCATGATCACCCCCGCAGACTGGTCTCAGGTGGGGACTGGGGGATCGGCCTGGTCTCATCCTCCTACGTTGAAAACACAAGTCTGAAGCAGTCGGTTTTCTGCATGGCAAGTGCCCTTTGCTCCTAGTAGCGTCCAATCGCTCCTAGTAGTAAGGCCAGGAGCCCCGCTCGTAGCGTCCGATCGCTCTTAGTAGCGATGCCCTTTGCTCCTAGTAGCTTCTTGTTCCTATTGATATCACCAACATACGCCAACAAATAAAAAACACCCAAAACAGCACAGCTCAAAGCTGCTCACCGTACTACGGCCCATTTCTTCTAGCGTGAGGCCTGCCCCTGGCCATATCCAAGTGAGTTTCACCAAGACAAACATGGCAGGAATCTATCATCCTAGCTTCGTCTTGAGTTGCACCGCTTAGACTTGAGAGTTCCAATGCTCGCAGGAATGTTCATGGTGCGGCTTTTCACCAAGGAACAGGAACAGCAACTTTTTTTGCTGTATGGGCTGTTGAAGCTGGAAAAGCATTGCGAGAAAGAGACCCAAACAAGAATTAACCAAGCTTTGGCTCGCTATGCTATGACATGATTGTTTTCTGACCCAGTGCAGCCTATCACCTGCAGGCTAATTGCTATAAGTGTCAAAGTATGACAATTCATCCGTAACACTCGGATGTACATCCCTGAATAATGCAAGTACATGTAGCTTCGTGTTGTCCAAGACTGCCAGGAATTAATATAAGTTCCGGCGATGTGACCCAGACATGGAGTGGCCAAGTCTGCGCTTTGTCGGTGCCCATTCAACCAAGCCTGTTCAAGAGTTCCAACCAGCCAAAGACTTGCTTGAAGCAAGTGATCTCACCAGGGGATTGAAAAGGGATAGTGTGCAGGAAAATCTGTGCGTTTCATCAGGTTTTGGAAATCTGTGATGTTCTTTCCCGGCCATGCCCGGCATTTTCTGTTTGTGGGGAAATGGCCTTGACCATCTTGACTCCTAGCTGTTGAGCCTAGATCCTGTACACCTGATCTCAGTCACGGGCCAAGAACCTCAATTAGATCCCTTCCAAAAGGTTCCCTGTCTGCCAATAGGAAGAGTGAACACTGTATCTTACCTGTCGGTAGAACTCATCTATGTCCATCTCTGTCTGGCTATGTCTATCCTTCGTCCAAACACTACACTACCACTACCACCATCACCAACACCACCACTAACTACTTACTACTACTTACTACTTGCTGCTTACTGCTTACTACGTACTACCTACTACCTACTACTTACCTACTACTACTACTACTACTACTACTACTACTACTACTACTACTACT